CCTCAGCCTCCCAAAGTGCCGGGATTACAGGTGTGAGCCACCTCACCTGGACCCCTGGTTCCTGTCCACACTGCTGGGACTGGCTGTGCCTGCAGGCCTCTGAGCTGAGTCTCTCGTGCCTCTCCTTTCCTTTCTCTCTCTACTTTCCGGGAGATTTTCTCCAGTCTCTCCTTCCACCGTTTCTTGGATTTGTATTTCTCCACTTTTGAATTCTTATTTTTTGAGAGTGTGTTCTTGCTCTGCAGGTGTGCTTTGCGTGCTGCTCTCACTGTCTTACAGAGATGGCGTCGTTACCTCTCTAGGGACGGGAACCACGTCTCGTCTCCTCCCGGGCTCCCATAGGTTTCCCTGGGTCCCTCTTCTCTTCTCTTTTGCACCATGTCCCACCTGTTAGAAGCTTCGTCAGTCCACAGATGTGCCTTGGCCGGCTGTTCTGTTTAACAGCGAGGTCCTAAAAACCCTCTTAGAGTGGCTGGTGTTGGAGCAGGGGCTGGGACAGGGACCCCGAGCATTCTCCTCTGCAGGGAGGTTCCCCCAGGAGGCTTCAGGCGCTGCCTTGGGACACAAAGGACATCGCAGACCCCTGCGGCCTTCTCCCCCCTCCACTGCCCACAAGGCTCCGTCCCAGCCCCTTCCTCCAGCCCCTCCAAGCGGGTCCCATCTGTGTCTCTAGGGCTTCAGGAGGGATCAGGTCCCTTCTGACAGAGCACTGCCCTCTCTGGGCCTGCTGGAAGTGATAACCGTCCCGACCCCAGGCCTCTCAGGGTGGCCTCCACCTCAGCGTAGAGCCAAGGGCATTGAGGGTGGACTGGAAGGACCACAGCCCTGTGCCCCAGGGAAGGCTTGTCTTGGGCTCTGGGGACAGAGCCCAGCTGGCAGCTCCAGAGGTGGGGACAGAGCCCAGCTGGCAGCTCCAGAGGTGGCTTTAGGTCTGTTGTTGGATTTGCCTTTCTCAGCGTGACTTCTCATGATAACGCGACCCAGCGACCTGTGTGTCCCACAGCCCGTCCATTTCTCTCCAGTCTCCCCGCACTGGTGTGTCCTGGGTGGTCCCAGAGGCGCCTTCTAGGCCTGGGCATGGTAGAGGCTGCACGTGGTGGGCCAACACGGGGTTGTCCCCACGAGCCCAGCTCCGGGAGCCCCCCACGCAGGATCCTCCGGCTCTCTCACCTGAGGCAGAAATGTGACTTGGGAATTGTCCTCCCTATAAAGGAAGCAAAATCGGGGCCTAGGGGTGAGCTGCTTACTGTGCTTCTTCCCACTCTCAGCCTCCAATCGGGGGGCACAGGCATTTGATTCCCGCGACATCTGTGGGCTGTCGCTGTCCAACCTCTGCGTCCCACACCCAGGCAGCTAGGGATTAGGGGGGCCTGACTGAGGCCTGGGGTACTTACCCCAGAAGGAGTGATTCCCTGTTTCCTGGAATTGAGCTGGGGGTCCCTGTCGGGGAGCAGTGGGGTCCCCTCAACTTTCTGCTCTCTCTCATTCCCGCAGGAGGAAACGTGTACATGTGTATGCTGTCATTTTTAGCATTCTTTTTTTTTTTTTTTTGAGACGGAGTTTCGCTCTTGTTGCCCAGGCTGGAGTGCAATGGCGCAATCTCAGCCCACCACAACCTCTGCCTCCCAGGTTCAAGTGATTCTCCTACCTCAGCCTCCCAAGTAGCTGGGATTACAGGCGTGCACCACCATGTCTGGCTGATTTTGCATTTTTAGTAGAGACAAGATTTCTCCGTGTTGATCAGGTTGGTCTTGAACTCCTCACCTCAGGTGATCTGCCTGGCTTGGCCCCCCAAAGTGCTGGGATTACAGGCGTGAACCACTGTGCCTGGCCTTCAGCATTTTTTTTTTTTTTTTTTTTTTTTGCGGGGGGAGACGGAGTCTCGCTCTGTTGCTCAGACTGGAGTGCAGTGGCGCGATCTCAGCTCACTGCAAATTCCGACTCCCAGGTTCATGCCATTCTCCTGCCTCAGCCTCCTGAGCAACTGGGACTACAGATGCCTGCCACCACGCCTGGTTAATTTTTTATATTTTTTAGTAGAGAAAGGGTTTCACTGCGTTAGCCAGGATGATCTTGATCTCCTGACCTCGTGATCCACCCTCCTTGGCCTCCCAAAGTGCTGGGATTACAGGCGAGAGCCACCACACCTGGCCCAGCATTTTCTTTAGATTGCTAAGGGAGTGTTTCCATGGACTCTTGGCATCAGACACGAGATGTCTTGATTAGTTTCCCAGATGGCTCCAAGGCCCCTGGCTTTGGAGCTGGGTGTCCCATCCCATCTCGGCCGGGCACCCTCGGACCTGCCTTCCCCCAGAGCACTTTACCAGCCCTTAGCGGCGACGTACCTTTCCCAGCTGGAATGACACCAGGATCCGGCAGCCCAGGCCAGGTCCAGTGCTGGGGAACGTGGTGGAGAGACCACCCTCCTCTCTTCCCTGTGTTGAGCCAGGTTTTGCCAACCTTTATTATTTCCATTTGAAATTACTATCTGGGGAATGACAGCCTTTCCTGTGGGTTTTACTCCGTGAGGTGTTTTGTTTGTTTTTTGAGATAGGGTCTCACTCTGTGGCCCAGGCTAGAGTGCAGTGGTGTGATCATAGCTCACTGCAGCCTCGACCTCCTAGGCTCAAGCCATCTTCCTGCCTCAGCCTCCTGAATAGCTGGAACCGCAGGTGTGCACTGCCATGCCCAGCTTATTTTTTAAAATTTAAAACTTCATTTATTTATTTCTTTTTAGAGACAGAGTCTTGTTCTGCTGGAGTGCAGTGGCACAATTATAGCTCACTGTCGCCTCAGACTCCTGGGCTCAAGCAATCCTCCTGCCTCAGCCTCCTGAGTTGCTGAGACTACAGGTGCACACCACTACACCTGGCTGATTTTAAATTTTTTGTAGAGATGGGGGTGTCACTATGTTGCCCAGGCTAGTTTCGACCATCTGGGCTCAAGTGATCCTCCTGCCTCGGCCTCCCAAATTGCTGGGCTTTCAGGCATGAGCCACCACGCCCAGCAGACATGAATTTTCTAGGATCTTTTGCAAAATAACTGCTGGGAACAGGAGCAGGTCCCTGCCACACGTGCTGGGCCATCACTGTTTGTTGTGTGTGTTGGGGGGTGTCCCTCGTTGGTCCTCAGGAAGGATCCAGAAGCCCGCCTGCCACCTCATGGGCCTCAGACAGGATTTTCCGAGCTGATTAGCTATTCCCCAGCCTGTGGCCGGAGATCAGAGTGTATCCGAGTGACACCTCGGCTCAGTGGTCCCAGCAAGGCCTGACATTTCAGTTCTTCCTGCTGAGTCCCAAGGGGATATCCAGTGGCTTTGGGTCTGGGACCGGGTGCACAGGCGCGGTCTGCAGCCCCTCCAGCCATGAGGCCATCCTGCCTCGGCAGGGAGGCGTTTGGTTCCCAGAGGCCCTTGACAAAGCTGATTTTGGGGGCTGTGTGCTGTTCTCAGTCAAAACCTTTCTCTCCCCTTCTTACCTTCTTGTAAGCCTGGGTTTTGTATTTTGGGTTCAGAACTAAATTCAGAAAAAGTTTCCTTTTGACCATTGCTACCTCTATTGAGCCATTTGTGGGTGTTCATTTAAGTTTCGACGTGTGCGGAACTTACCTATCTCTGCTGTATTTGGGGAGCCTGTTGGAAGAGAGAACAGGAATTCCAGATCAGAGTCCTTGACGTTCCATGTGGGTGACACTGAGTCATTCCTGAAAATGCCCCAGGCCTGAACTGCTCGTTAATGTCAGCTGCCGGGTTTTTCTCAGCCGCAGGAGTTTTTCATTCGTCCCCCTGCTCCATCCAAAAAATGTTTCTTGAGCCCCGCCTGCGCCGAGGGGGGCTCCTGCTTAGCCTGAGGTTTGGAGATCTGAGTCTTGTGCCTGGACAGTTGGGGAAGGATGTTCCAGGCAGAGGAAGCGGCAGCAAGGCGGGAGGAGGAGAACGGACCTTCTGCATGGTTCTGGGTGGCCTGCAGGGCAGTGCAGCCAGGGAGCGTCCTGCCCGCCACGGGGTCTCTAAGGCGGCTGAGGGGCCATGTCAGCATCACAGGTGGGCAGGGTCCATCCCAGGATGGGGCCAGGTGGGTGCCCATGAGCTCAGGACAGTGGGAGCTCTTTCTCTCGGGAGGTTTTGCACCCGCTCTTCGTGCTCTCATTGGCTTTCTCTGAATACCTGTAATAGAAACCATTTTCAGAAGCAAAACCTCGCCGTGGTTTGCTAACCGAAGCCTGCCTGAGTGAGTTAGGAAAGCAGGCCAGGGCGCACCCCTCAGCCAGACGGACGCAGCCTCCTGCCCACGGTCCCAGCTTCAACCCAGAGCCTCACCTGCAGCCGGGGGTGTCGGTCACTCCCTGCCACCTGGGTTGCTCCAGCCTGGGAGGGAGAGGGGATGAGGGCAGGGGCATCTCAGCGGCTCAGGGCAAAACCGCAGGGGTTGTCTCTTCCCGAGGGCGGTGTCTTCAGGAGAGCCACCTGCCATGCCTTCATCCTGCCGGGCGATGGCACCTCCACAGCCCCTTTCTAGCATCTGCCTGGGGACTGCACGGGGTTGTCCTGGGCCCGAGCCTTTTCCCACAGCGCCACCTTGTGGACACCTGTGCAGGAGCCAGCAGCCTGCAGAGGCTACCTGCTCCGGGTGCACGTCCTGTAGGGTGCATGTCCTGTAAGGTGCACGTCCTGTAGGGGTGTACGTGGGGGGAGCTGAGGAGGGGCCCGCACAGAGCTGCCTGACCAGGTGCTGCCCTGGGCCCTGCACAATGGCAGGAGGAGGGCGTGCAGCACTCTCAGTCCCCGAGCAGGAGTCACCACTGGAAGGAAACTTGGCTGCCATCTCCAGCATCTTGTCCCTGACGCTGTGTGGCCCCTGGCTGGGCAGCGTGATGGCACTTACGATTGGAAAGTGCGAGCTTCTTCCCCACAGCCCCACCCTCTGGGTAGGTCCTGAAGCCCTGTGCCCCACAGGGCTTTTTCAGAGCCACGAGCTTACAGTGTCCTTCTCTCTCCTCAGCGTCCCCAACTCCTGCCCAGCCAGTCCACGTGGTGCCGGCTCCTCCAGTTACCGCTTTGTGCAGAACGTGACCTCAGACCTGCAGCTGGCAGCAGAGTTCGCAGCAAAGGCCGCGTCGGAGCAGCAGGCAGACACGTCCGGAGGAGACAGCCCCAAGGTCTGAGCCCACCCAGAGCCGTGATGCACGTGGTGACCAGGATTGGGCCATAGTGACCCAGTGTGGGCGGCACAGACAGCCCAGGGCCCGTGGGCGTGTGCTTGAGGTGGTCTCAGCCCACAGGGAATGGAGCCACAGCTGGCCGTAGAGCTGTCGGCGCTTTCTCCTTTTCGTGCCCAAATCATCCCCGTTGGTCATTTGCTGGTGACAGGGGTGGCACCGTCACCAAGGACCCCTCCCGCTACGCTCCTTGTTCATTTGCTGCTGGCATCCTGGCGTCAGAGCCTTCATACAGCCCTTGAGAAGGATGGCACTCTCCTTACAACTTTGTGTCTTAGTTCGTTTCTGTCCAACAGCTGTTTTCAGATTGATTTGTGGAAGAGGTGAGAAATTCCAGAATTAAATTATAATAAAAACGAAGTTTTCCTTCCCACGAGGCAAAAACGGCCGTTCCTAGTTGAATGCAAGCACATCAATGGGATAGTTGGAGGGCACTGGGATGGGTGCCGCGAGACATGCACGGTCTTGTGGGAAGGTTCTTCCCTGTCACCTGTGACGGGTGGAGTGGACTCGGGGACCTTGCTGGAGCTCATCCCGTGAGCCCTGTCTCTCCGCAGGACGAGTCAAAGCCGCCGTTCTCCTACGCGCAGCTGATCGTGCAGGCCATCTCCTCCGCCCAGGACCGGCAGCTGACCCTGAGCGGGATCTACGCCCACATCACCAAGCATTACCCCTACTACCGGACGGCCGACAAAGGCTGGCAGGTGAGGCCAAGTCCCTGGGGCTGGACCACCTCTGAAGGCCCTTAGAACGTGAAACTAACAGGCACATCACTTCCCTTAAAACAGAAAAGAGGGCTGGTGAGGGAGCGCATCCCTGGAACCCTAGCACTTTGGGAGGCTGAGGCAGGAGGAGGATCAAGACCAGCCTGGGCAACATAGAACCTCTTTTCTACTAAAAATTAGCTGAGTGTGGTGGTGCACACCTGTGGTTCCAGCTACTCGGAGGCTGAGGTGGGAGGATCACTTGAGCCCAGGAGGTGGAGGCTGCGGTGAGCTATGATCACACCACTGCACTCCAGCCTGGGAGACAGAGAAAGACCCTGTGTCTAAAAAGAAAAAAAAAATTTTTTTTAACTAAGAAGATAAATATAAAAGAGGGATGTTTTCACAGATGGCCTATGATACATCTGAAAGGCACTGTGATACCATTGTATCTAAATACTCTTTTTTATTAGTTTTCTTCTTCTGAGCCCCAGAACTGAGAAGATGGGTCTATACCTTGTTAGATTTTGTGCTTGCTGTGCCTTACGATCCCATGTTAAGTTGGAAAAATGCACCGTATACTGTTAATAAAACCGTCTACGTGTCTGAAGTGTGGATGGGATTGTGAGAGCTTTGTCCACACCAGCCACGACTGAAACATGTTACGTTTGCCTGTATTTTCTCCAAAGTCAGTGTAGCACATCCACTAGTTTCGCTTTGTTTGTTTTTTGAGACAGGATCTCACTCTGCTGCCCCGGCTGGAGTGCAGTGGCGTGATCTCGGCTCACTGCAACCTTTGCCTCTCCTGGGTTCAAGCCATTCTTCTGCTTCAGCCTCCCAAGTAGCTGGGACTACAGGCGCCCACCCCACGCCGGGCTTTTTTTTGTTGTATTTTTAGTAGAGACAGGGTTTTATGAGACATGTTACCCAGGCTGTCTCAAACTCCTGATCTCAGGTAATCCCGTCCGCCTCCGCCTCCCAAAGTGCTGGGATTACAGGCGTGAGCCACTGCGCCCGGCCAAGACCCAGTGTTTTCTTTGTCCCAGACATACTCCTAGACCAGGATCTGTCGTTCTGTTTCACTTTTTCTGTAAAGAATGGTAATGGCAAGGCCGGGCGCGGTGGCTCAAGCCTGTAATCCCAGCACTTTGGGAGGCCGAGACGGGCGGATCACGAGGTCAGGAGATCGAGACCATCCTGGCTAACACAGTGAAACCCCGTCTCTACTAAAAAATACAAAAAAACTAGCTGGGCGCGGTGGCGGGCGCCTGTAGTCCCAGCTGCTCGGGAGGCTGAGGCAGGAGAATGGCGTAAACCCGGGAGGCGGAGCTTGCAGTGAGCTGAGATCCGGCCACTGCACTCCAACCCGGGTGACAGAGCAACACTCCGTCTCAAAAAAAAAAAAAAAAAAAAAAAAGAAAGAAAGGTAATGGCAGCCAGGCACAGTAGCTCATGCCTGTAATTCTAGCACTTTGGGAGGCCGAGGTGGGAGGATTGCTTAAGTCCAAGAGTGTGAGACCCCATCTGGACTAAAAATACAAAAAATCAACCAGACATGGGGGCCCACGCCCGAGGCAGAAAAATCCCTTGAACCCAGGAGGCGGAGCTTGCAGTGAGCTGAGATCCGGCCACTGCACTCCAGCCTGGGCGACAGAGCCAGACTCCGTCTTAAAAAAAAAAAAAGGTAAAATGGTCATGATGCTGTGTCAAATTTTGATAGGATTGACCTGCCCTGTGCCTCAGTGCTGCTCCCATGAGGCCCAGTCAGCGCAGCACCAAGGGCTCTGCACAGCGGGACGCCCCCCCCCCCCCCCCGTCCCGCGTCTGTTGCAGATTTGGGGCGGGTGGGACTCGTTTTCTGATTTGCTGGTGACGGGTGAATGTCTCTGCTTCCCCACAGAATTCTATCCGACACAACCTCTCTTTGAACCGTTACTTTATTAAAGTCCCACGTTCCCAGGAGGAGCCTGGGAAGGGGTCTTTTTGGCGAATAGACCCCGCCTCTGAAGCCAAGCTCGTGGAACAGGCATTCCGGAAACGGAGGCAGAGGGGCGTCTCCTGCTTCCGCACCCCCTTCGGGCCTCTGTCTTCAAGGTAAAGCTCTCTGCGCGGCCGTCCTCGAGCTGTTAGGAAAACTGAGCTTCTCCGGAGTTTAGAGATGCCTGGTGCAGTCTGCCCTCCGGATGTGTGGGCCCCATAGCTGCAGGCTCAGCGTGCGGGCATGCAACTGATCACGGGTCCAAAATATTCCACAAAAAAAAAAAAAGGGAGGCAGGGCGCGGTAGCTCAAGCCTGCAATCCCAGCACTTTGGGAGGCCGAGACGGGCGGATCACGAGGTCAGATCGAGACCACCCTAGCTAACACGGTGAAACCCTGTCTCTACTAAAAAGTACAAAAAACTAGCCGGGCGAGGTGGCAGGCGCCTGTAGTCCCACCTGCTCGGGAGGCTGAGGCAGGAGAATGACATAAACCCAGGAGGCGGGGCTTGCAGTGAGCCGAGATTGTGCCACTGCACTCCAGCCTGGGCGACAGAGCGAGACTCCGTCTCAAAAAAAGAAAAAAAGAAAAAAAAAGGGCTGGCACCGTGGCTCACACCTGTAATCCCAGCACTCTGGGAGGCCAAGGCAGGTGGATCACCTGAGGTCAGAAGTTTGAGAGCAGCCTAGCCAACATGGTGAAACCCCTGCCTCTACTAAAAAAAAATACAAAATTAGCCGGGTGTGGTGGCAGGTGCCGGTAATTCCAGCTACTCGGGAGGCTGAGGTAGGAGAATCACTTGAACCTGGGAGGCGGAAGTTGCAGTGAGCCGAGATTGTACATACCACTGCACTGCAGCCTGGGCGACAAGAGCAAAACTCCGTCTCAAAAAAAAAAAAAACTAATACAAATAAAACAGTACACACTACAACAGCTATTTACATAGCATGCACAGTGTGTTAGGGATTATGAGCAACCCGGCGATGATTTAAAGCTTACAGGAGGATGTGCGCAGGTTGTATGCAAAGGCAGCACCATTTCTACGAGTAACTTGGATAAGCATCTGCAAATTTGGTACCTGCAGCCCCCTCCCCTCAAGTACTGAGGGGTGACTGCTGGTTTTGGCACTCAGAGACCCCACCATTTTCTGTTTCTGTTTTTGTTTTGAAAGAATATCTCAGGACCAAGAACTCCTAAAATAGTAAGGTTACTAAGTAAGCCACTGACTGTTGTATGAAAAATCACATTTTAGTTCTTAGAAGTGGAAATGTGTGTAGCAATGGGAACGGTTCCTAAGGCCGAGAATAAATGGACTGCAGCTTTCGGTGCTTTCGGTGGCACTGAGCTTTCCGTTGCAGAGTGAGAGGACCCAGGGAGAGCCGAATATTTGAAGGGACAGGCGAGGGGTATGACTTGGGGATCCCACAACCGCCTTTGCTTTTCCCAGATGCTGGAAACGCAGCCCTGCTGCAGGCGGGGTGGACAGACCCTCCCCCAGCCGCCGCTGCCCACCTGGTGGGTCAGGGCCTCCCCTGCCCAGCTCGGTCCTGGCCGAGCCCAGTCTGGAGGAGCAGCACCTCCTGTGAGTGGCCTGGGCAGCTCTTCCCAGGTTGCGCTTCAGATGAGCCCATCCCAGGTGTGGGGGAGGAGATCTCCTGAGCGGCACTCTCGGAAATCCTTCCCAGTGGAAGGACATGTTAGCATCTCGTGCTTCCCACTTCAAAATTCTGTTTCCAACACCATTCGATGAAAGATTGAAATATCTGAAAATTCATTCCAGGCAAGGGTCTGGCCTTGCGGTTCTCAGGTGAACTGGGTGTATGGTTAAGGTAGGACTTCGAAAAAGTGTTAGAACATCATTTGGAGCATTTCAACTGAGCTCCAAGTGATGTTCAGACACTTTTTTGAATTCCTGCCTTAACCATACGCCCCGTTCACCTGAGAATCACAGTGCCAGACCCTGTGCCTGAAATGAATTTTCAGATATTTCAATCTGAACACAACATCACTTAAATGGAATGTGAAGAGAAATTTTGTTAAGCCATTAGGTTGCTAGAGCTGTTGAAACAAGTACCACATACTGGGCAGCTTGAACAGGTGATGATTGTCCCACAGTTCTGCAGGGAGGCTGGAGGTCCAGGGATAAGGTGTCGGGAGGGCTGGGTCCGTCTGAGGCTGCGAGGAGTCTCCCCAGGCCTCTGCCCTGGTTGCCAGCACTCCCCCGCCTGTGGGTGTGTCACACCGCCCTCTGCCTTCACCTTCAAGTGGCACCATCTGTGTGTGTCAGGGGACGTTTCCCCTTTATATGAGGACACCAGTCATTGGATTCGGGTCCACTCAAATGACCATGACCTTTTGACTTGATCACCTCTGTTAGACCCTGTCTCCAAATAAGCTCACGTTCTGAAGTACTGGGGGTTAGGATGCCAGTGCGTCTCCTTTGGGGGACACGGGTGAACCCCTGATAGCCACCAATGTCATTTTCAATGACACTGAAGATGTCCATCTTCAAGGTCACCCTTGGAGCTGTGGAAGCAGGTGTTGTGCTGATAGAATCTGCTTGGGTGGTGGAAGGCGGGAAGACCCTCCGGGCCCTGAGGAATGTACGGCAAGAGCTGTGTCTTCCAAAGAGGGAGGAGGCTGGCTTGACTTCCAGAGGCTGGATGGATTTAAAGGGAGGCAGGTCCTAGGAAATGGGGTGACTGGGTAGAGGAAGGGGAGATGAGAGAGGGCCCTGACAGGCATTTGGACTCTTAGAGCCGTGGCAGACTCCAGAACTGGGGAGCGGCCTGGCCACATGGGTTTGGGATTGAGTCCGGTGTGCACTGGAATCCGCAGTCAAGGCCTCCAGGCCCCTGGATGAGGAACAGATGGGGAGCTAAGTGGTCTGGAAGAGACTACAGGGCAGCAGGGAGGGGAGGGATGGAGAGGGAGCACCCGGGCCTCTGCCTGTGGAGCCCAGGAAGGGCCCAGCTCAGCCACCCACGGTAGACACAGCATATGCAAAGTGACCAAGGATGTTTGTAACATGATGAAGACTCTGGCCAGGCACGGTGGCTCATGTCTGTAATCCCAGCACTCTGGGAGGCTGAGGCGGGAGGATCACTTGAGACCAGCCTGGGCAACCTAGCGAGACCCCGTCTCTACAAAAAAAAATAATAATAATGTATATATATGTACGTATGTGTTTGTCTGTGTGTGTGTGTGTGTGTGTGTGTGTATTTAAATAAAGACTCGCTCCTTACCCCAGCCGCCCCTGGTGAGTCCCAACTTCCTGCCTCTCTGGTCTATGCTGAACCCTCCTGCTTTGCGTGTGCAGCGGCGTGGCTGGGCTGTGTGTCCTGCCTCACGTGTGTGTTGGGTGGTCCCAGAGAAGAAAGCTGACTGCTTCCAGGCCTGGGTCTCGGCTGTGTCGCAGTCGCCCACGCCAGGCCCTCACAGGTGGCACCTGGCAGGAACGCTCTATTGTAGAGCCTGGGTCGATGGTGGCGAGGAGCAGGCGGGGAGCGGGCAGGGAACGGGTGGGGAGCGGGCAGGGAGCGGGCGTGCTTGGACTGTTAGTTGTACAGGAAATAGTTGTGCTCCCAAAGCTCGTTTTACTCTCAGGGGTAGAGTTTTCATGGTGTAATGGTTGTGCCCATCAAACAGAAGCTTATGTTTTTGGCACAGAAGGCCTGAGCCATTTTCACGGACACCTGGCTGGACCTCGGTGGAAGTGAACTCTGTAGGTTGTCGCGTTTACTGCAACACCTCAGATGATACCGTCCCGTCCCGTGGAACGGAGCCTCCCCCGATGTAGCCCCCGCTCCAATGGAGTTTTAAACACTGGGTTCAGGTTTCAGGGGGCATTTCTCACTGTCTGAATGGGGAGGACAGAGACAGCTCCGGGGAGCATGGGCGGGTGATGGGGGCGACACTGAGATGCGTGATGTCTCGGAAACGTCCTCCTGACCCTCAGCGTGGGTGCTGACTGCCACGACCCTTCCCTCTCTTCCAGGAGCGCTCCAGCTTCGCCCACACACCCCGGACTGATGTCCCCTCGCTCCAGCGGCCTGCAGACCCCAGAGTGCCTGTCTCGGGAGGGCTCCCCCATTCCACACGACCCTGAGTTTGGGTCCAAGTTAGCTTCTGTCCCAGAGTACCGGTATTCCCAAAGCGCACCCGGTAAGGAGCGGGCGGCCCTCTTGCGGGGTGGGGTGGGGCTCGTGGGGGCGCGGGAGGGGTCACCATCTGCTCTCCGCCCTCCGTGCAGGCTCCCCCGTCAGTGCCCAGCCAGTGATCATGGCCGTGCCTCCCCGACCGTCCAGCCTCGTGGCCAAGCCCGTGGCCTACATGCCTGCCTCCATCGTAACCTCACAGCAGCCCGCGGGCCACGCCATCCATGTTGTGCAGCAGGCCCCCACCGTCACCATGGTCAGGGTGGTCACCACGTCCGCCAACTCGGCCAACGGATACATCCTCACCAGCCAGGGCTCGGCGGGGGGCTCCCATGATGCGGCGGGCACAGCCGTGCTGGACCTGGGCAGCGAGGCCAGAGGTAATGCAGCTGTGGCTAGCAGCCTTCGCAGGACCCTCCGTGGTGGTCTGGGCCAGCAGATCCCCAAGGCAGCGCCATCGGCCTGGGCCTGGGGCTTAAGGAGGATGATTCTCTGCTTCTGCCTCTCGCTGCCTTGTCCTTTTAAATCAGCATGAGCTGGGTGGGTGGCTCATGCTTATAATCCCGGCACTTTGGGAGGCCAAAGCGGGTGGATCACGTGAGGTCCGGAGTTCGAGGTCAGCCTGGCCAATGTACTGAAACCCTGTCTCTACTGAAAATACAAAAATTAGTCAGGCATGATGGCGCGCTCCTGTAGTCCCAGCTACTCGGGAGGCTGAGGGAGGAAAATCACTTGAACCCTGGAGATGGAGGTTGCAGTGAGTTAGATTGGGCCAGTGCACTCCAGCCTGGGCGACAGAGCAACACCCTGTCTCAAAAAAATAAAAAACCGTGACTCTCCACAGATGCGTCCGTCCTTGTTGAATAGGGCCCTCGGATGCACATAGCTGTGTCCTTGCCCTAAGGTAACATTAAATTCAGTTGTGCTGCGGCCTTGCGTGCATTTGGAATTTAGTATTTTCTGCAGGAGAAAGAACAAGCCTGGGAAGACTGTTCTTTTCGACTCCCTCGTAAGGAGACTTTAGAAGTCATTTAGGGAAAAAGTAGTTCTAAATTGCTAAAAGAAATCCGATCCCAGGGCTTGATGGGGTAGACACTGAACACGCAGCTGACCCCAGAAGCCCCTCTCTGGAACACCTTCAGTTAGGCAGCACCCCCTGACGCCACTCTCCACCCTTGACTTCATCTCCGCGGTGGTGTTTATTTCAATGTTGCTGTAATGAAACTGCAGTTTGGTGAGGGAAGGTCAAGTTACATCTCTAATCAGGATCGTTTCATTCCAAGTAATACATTTTCTTTCTCAGGCTAAATTTGGTTTGGTTAAAGCTAAGGTATTTAAAATACTGTTCTAGGCTGGGCGCGGTTGCTCACGCCTGTAATCCCAGCACTTCGGGAGGCCGAGGCGGGCGGATCACTTGAGGTCAGGAGTTCGAGACCAGCCTGGCCAACATGGTGAAACCCCATCTCTACTGAAAATACAAAAATTAGCCAGTTGTGGTGGCGGGCACCTGTAATCCCAGCTACTCGGGAGGCTGAGGCAGGAGAATGGCATGAACCCGGGAGGCAGAGGTTGCAGTGAGCCGAGATCGCTCCGCTGCACTCCAGCCTCTGCGACAGAGCAACAAAACCCGTCTCAAAAAATAAGTAAGTAAAATATTGTTCGAAAACCTTAGTAATTGTTTTCTTACCAAACCTATTTCACCTGTGGGATTTTCCTCTAGCAAACCAAGTTTTTCCCAGTGCCGACCTCGCTTTCCCCACTTGGCAACCTGTTGCCCAGGTGTCAAGGAAATCGATTGTCTCGTTGGCCCAGTGTGGTGCTGACTTGGTTCCTGTCCCGCAGGCCTGGAGGAAAAACCCACCATTGCGTTTGCCACAATCCCTGCGGCCGGTGGAGTCATCCAGACAGTGGCCAGCCAGATGGCCCCCGGGGTCCCCGGACACACAGTGACCATCCTGCAGCCCGCCACACCTGTGACCCTCGGGCAGCACCACCTTCCAGTCCGGGCCGTCACTCAGAATGGAAAGCACGCGGTTCCCACGAACAGTTTAGCTGGCAACGCTTACGGTGAGGCCTTGGCCCTGTTCTCCATGCCACATCCCAGGGTCTGTGGCTCCCAGTGGTCAGTGCAGCACGAGAATGTTCTCCCAGTATCACCCGATCCTCCACTCAGTTCAGTGTATTGCACACCTGCTATACTCCAGGCACCGGGATAATGCTAAGAAAAGAGGGTGGAAGAGGCTGGGCTCTGTGGCTCACACCTATCATCCCAGCACCTTGGGAGGCCAAGGCAGGCAGATCGCTTGAGCCCAGGAGTTTGAGACCAGCCCGCGCAACATAGCAAGACCCCATCTCTACGTAAGATTCAAAAAGTTAGCCAGGTGTGGTGTCGCGCACTTGTGGCCCCCGCTCGGGAGGGTGAGGCTGTAGTCGGCTGTGATAGCTCCGCTACATGCCAGCCTGGGCGACTGAGTGAGACCCTGTCCCTTAAGAAAAAAGGGGGAAAGGAAAGAGGGTGGAAGGAAAACCCAGACCTGCCCAGTGTCTGGAGCTCACGCTCCATGGGGTGAGGCAGGAGGTCGAGGGAAGGAGGAGAGTTGGGGTGCTGGGGTGCTGGGGTGCAAGGGCATCAGGCAAGGTGTCAGTGGGGTGGCTCAGGGCGGTGCATCTGTGTAAAGGAGTGGGACGAGCCGTCGATGTCCAGCAGGATCCAGACAGCAACAAGAGGGGCCTCCACCCGACAGGCTGGAGCCAGCAGAGACGGGGCAGATGAGTTGGGGAGGGGATGGCAGGGCCCGCAGGGAGCAGAGCAAGGGGAGCCGGCCTGCCTGGCAGGGGTACACTGAGCTTCAGTTCCTGCTTGGTGGCTTAGCCCCTGTGTAGGTGACTCGAAAAAAATAGCTGGGTCCTAACCAGACCCCAGAGTAACCCTCTTCTTCCTCCACTCCAGCCCTCACCAGCCCTCTGCAGCTCCTTGCGACCCAAGCGAGTTCATCCGCGCCGGTGGTGGTCACCCGGGTGTGCGAGGTGGGGCCCAAGGAGCCAGCAGCAGCCGTCGCGGCCACGGCCACCACCCCCCCAGCCACTGCCACCACCGCCTCTGCCTCCGCCTCTTCCACTGGAGAGCCTGAGGTCAAAAGGTCCCGGGTGGAGGAGCCCAGTGGGGCTGCAACCACACCCGCCGGAGTGATCGCCGCTGCTGGCCCCCAGGGGCCAGGCACCGGGGAGTGAGGTCACCTGCAATGTGGGGGAGTGGGACTCACCCAGCGGCGACCCCGAAGCTGGACTCGGCAGCTCAGGCGGCCGCACCCACAGACGGAGGAGAACAGCCCATGGCGGCCCGAGGGCATCAGCAGCACCTGGACACACCCAGCCCTTTCCATTTTATCGCCTGCCCTCCCGTGGTTTAAAACAAAAACACATAAACAAGTTCAGACAACTGATTGTATGATTCTGGGAATTCTTTGCTTTCATTTCCTTCTCCCTGGGCACCACTTCCTCTCCCCAGGCCTCCCTGTTGGGCGTGGGGAGGAGGTTGGAGCTCAGCATCTCGAGGAATGTGTCAAGACAGCCCCTCTGCTCCACGCTGCACAGCCAACTGCCTTTGTCCCGGGAGGAGGGACAGAAACGCAGCAAGGCACACACCGAGGCTGCCGGGGAGGCCCAGGTACCGGACGGATGCCTGTTGGGGAAGCCAGGAGCTGCCTAGCCACGGACTGCCTAACAGCATCTCTGCCCGGAACGTGACATAGAAAGTGTTGGCATTAACTCGGGGGGTGTCCGGTTTCACTTCGGACCCCAAGTTTTTCTTTGTTTAAACTTGGAATTCAGACTTCATTGTACACCTGAGGCAAACACAAAAGGGATCATGTATTTTTGAGGATTTCATCTGTTGACGGTCTGATGACTGGCCGTAGGTCTGGGGTTCCCGCTGGGTTTAGTCCCCTCGAAGAGTAAACTGCCGCTCTGATAACTTCAAGTAAGAGCAGCGGCTTCCTGGGTTGGCGTTCGCGGTGGAAGCTTCCTAGGATGCAAGATCGACCTGGATCCGCCAGCCGCAGACATCGCACTGCCGGGGACAGTCGGGGCCACTGCTCTGCAGACCAGACCTTCCCAGATTCTCCCGTGGCTCTGACGTCCCGGTGCTGACGGCCACAGCAGGACCCAACGGTGCCAAATGCCATCTGCTCCAGCTGCTGTTTCACCCAGTTACAGCGTCCGTACCACTCCCACATTGATCTGCTGTTTTAAATTGGAAGCATTTCTCCTGCCTGAAACTCCAGGGCCCCTCCGTGAGCAGAAGGGAGACCCCACCATGAGCAGAAGGGAGGTGGCACGTGGCCACCCTCATGGGGGAGCTCTGTTTGCTCCTGGGCCACTGCTCAGGTCCGTCTGTGAGCAGAAGGGAGACCACACCCCAGCAGCAGCGGCAAGCAGGCCTGTGCCTCCAGGAGGACGGGATGCTCCAGCAGTTGGGTGGCTCTGAGGTCCCTGAGGAAGCCCCTCCTGCACTTCTATTAAGACGGCCAGTGGCGCCTGGATCTTTTGTCATCAAGCGGCATTGAGCCAGAGCGGTGTAACGCCGAGCCCAGCTCTAGGAGGAAAGAGGAGTCCTTCCGTGTGTCTTGGAGATGCGAAGTGCATCCCTGTAAAGGTCAGCTGTCAGTTTTGCTGGCCGCTCCGGCGCTGGCTGTCCTGTTGGGGAAACAGCAACAGATCCGACACAGAGCTCCGGAAGAGCCTAAGGAGTTGTGGGTCTTGGAAGTCGCCCATCCTCTGTGTCACAGCGTCTCACCAGCAAAGCAGCCTCCGCCCGGGCCCTGGTGGGACAGCCACAGAGGGACCCAGGCGCCTGGAAGGCGTCTGAGGGAGGCGGCTGGGCAGATGTCTCCCTGGAGAAGAAGGGAGAATGCTTTTCAAAGTGATTCCGAGGCATGCGGGAGGACACACGTGCTGTGCGGCAGAGTGGGGTCGCCCGTGGCCCCATCAGAGTCCCCGTCCCCCAGGACAAGTGCAGGACCTCTGTGGGCCCCCTCCTTCCACCTAGAGAAAACCCCCGTTCAGTTTCCTTCTCCCATTCTGTTTTTCTAAGTCCCCCAAAATGAGTCGTTTCTATGGCACTAACCTTTCCATGAGAAATAAGCTCTTTGTGGAAGTCCATACCTGTTGCCCTGGGTGAGGTTTCAGAGGAATGGGGGCGGGATGAACACAGCCGGCCGTCCTGGGTGCAGTTCCATCCGTGGAGGGTGAGAGATTGCGCCCCGTACCACACTGAAGCCTCCTGCTGTTGTCTGTGGGCCTTTTCTTTCCGTGGTGTCTGGTGTGTGCGTGCAAGGCTGAGAGAACGGGGTGTGGTGGTTGGAGATGGCTCTCTGACACCGGTGCCTGTGTGGCCTGAGCCGGCGCCCACCCGGGAGCGCCCATCACCGGGGGCCTCTGTGACCACCTGCTGCTACTCTCTCCTCCATGGTGACTGTGTGCCCCCAGGGCTGCACGTGGCCACCCTCATGGGGGAGCTCTGCTTCTGGGCCACTGCGGTTGGCCTCCTTGTGCAAGCTGATGTCTGCAGGGAGCGCCGCGTGCCGGGATTGCACCACGTGTTGGTCACACAGTGAAGTCGCCTCTTGGCCTGGTCCGCTCAGGCTGGCTCTGACCCACTTGCTTTCCTGGTTTTTGAGATGGAGCACATTCTTCCTGTTAGCGGTAGCGTTCTCTGATTTCACTGCTTCAATGCCAAGGGCATGGAAAGGGAGTGGTGGATGGAGCCGGAAGGTGGCGAGCACAGGATCCCTGGGCTGCGTTCTGCCGCTTGGGAGTCCTCACTGTCTGGCTTCTGCGGGGACTGCAAAGAGGGATGAAGGGACGTGGTCCTAGGGGTCGGCTCAGACTCAGAGCGGGGCAGGGAGAAGAGGCCTGGGTCCTGGATCCACTGCTCTGGGCTCATAACCATGAGGTTTTGAAAGAGTTTTTGGTCATCTGAGCAGGTACCATGACTGGCTCACGCTGGAGCTTGTCTTGGAACCGGTAGCCAGAGGCCCAGGAAGGGACAGGGCCCAAAAGGGCTGCACATCCCGGCCACAAAGTCCTCCCGGTGTGCCCTGAGCCAGCCCAGTGAGCGCCTCCCAGCCAGGCGCTTTTGCAGAAGCAAGAGCACAGGCCAAGGGACCGGGAGAGCCTCAGCCCCCAGCCTGGGCGGCCTGGGACCCTGAGCCGTGTCTGGTTGACCCAAGAACCTTCTCTGGGTTCTCCAGGGTGAGCTGACTCTAGCAATGTGCAGGAATGTGGGGAGCAAAAGTAGCTTGATTCCAGCCCCGTTCTGGGGTCACTGCAGAGGCAGAGGCTGAGGGCCTGCTCTCTGGTCACCAGGGGCTGGGGGCACAGTCCACAGCGGATGAAAACAGTAGGTCACAGTGGTGGCTTTGGGAAGGGCCCCTCCTGCTTTGCCCTTTCGGAAAGGGGCTCCCTTAGAGCCCCTGGGCTTGGTAACCCGCTTCTCTCTTCTGCTTCCTGCTGGATAATTGCCAGGTTTACCAAATACAAGAAAACACTCACTTTGGCTAGGAGGTAAGTCCCAAAAACAACATCTTAAGTGGTTGAGCACAGGCATTCACCGAGGCCATGGTGGCCCCCGGGAAGTGGGGAAGCAGGGCCTGAGCGTCCCCCGGCTGCTACAGCAGCAGCTGGTTCAGGGCACCCTCTCCCGTGCCAGCTTCTGCCACCAGCCCAGTGTCCACGGAGCTGCAGGGCCGGAGGAGGTCAGGGAGACCTGGCTGTCAAGGGCATGGTGCCCGGTGTGTGCCCGTCCTCAGCTGCTTGTGTCTTTCTTTCCACGTGGAAGTTCTCCCAGTGACACCTGCCCTCCGTTGAGGGTGGAATCTGTCACTCATGCCTTTGAGGGACCCAGATAGACTGTCCCTCTTCTGCTTTCTTTACATTCCTAAAAACCTCAACATTAATCCCTCACCAGTTGGGCCGAGTACGGCCTCACGGCTCTGCAGCGCCCCAGCCTTCTCCCACTGGCTTCACGCTAGAGGGCGTCACATGCTCTGGGTGAAATGAGACGCTGGTGTCAGGTCCCCATGCAGAGACCCTCAAGGCAGCCCTAGGAAGACACTGGGGGGAGGGGACCGTGACCAGGCAGGTGGAGCCATGTGTGTCTCACACCTGCCGCCCCTCAGTTTCCTTCCCGAGGTCTGGTGTGTTCTCTTTGGGATTTGCTGTTTATTTGTATTTCCTTTTTCTTTGATTTAAGAACCATGCCAAGTGAAAAAGGTGGGAATGAATTTCTGAGTTGCTGAGGGTTCCCTGATCCTAGGTACTGCGCTCTGTGTTTCTTGAGCAGGGAGGGGATGGATTTGGTGGAATTGGGCCAGGCCGGGGGCTTCACCCTGCCCCCTCCAGACTGCCGGAGCCCCAAGAAGTTTTGAGTCCAGCTGGGCCTCGCCGCCCGCCCCGCCGCCCGCTCCTGCGTCCGTTTACTGGTTTAAGATCAGAGGCATCATTCAGCGAATGCTCTTGTGTTCTCTACATAAAGAGGGCCCTCCCTGGAACACCCCAAGGGAGCTGGGACTCTCCAGAAAGCCCCCACTAAGGGCGCCCTCTGTCTCTGGAGAGAAATTCCTTCTTTGGGCGAATCAGCGAGTTCAGGAGGAGGAGGCAGCTTTTCCTTGGCTTTGAAATCAGTGTTAGAGACAAAGAACAGACCTCAGTGGAAAAATGAAAACGTAACTGAACATGGGGAAGCGTCGGAGAAGAAAGGATTTTCCCCTTCGCTTTCAGAGTCGGCGGGAGTGCAGGTCTGTTTTGCTTCAGAAGCCTCACGTTCTGCTTTGCCTTTGAGTGACTTCATGCGGGATGAGGAACTGTAGAGCTCTCTAGAGCGGATACCCCAAGTCCATCCTGGGCTCCTCCTCACCCCTCTGAGAAAGCCCCCTAAAAAAGGCTTTAGAATCACCAGCGTGCCGCCTCATGTTTCAGGGCGGAATGGCACGCTCCTCACGCTGGAATAAGTTACAAAACATGATTGTAAGGCTGTTTGCAAATGCAGAGCCCCAGAATGCTGGACGGAGACCTCCTCGGCCCTGCGGGCGGCCTGGCTGCAGCAGGTCTGCTGTAAGGGGTGACCACGGGGACTGCGTCACACTCCTGATGAAAACGTGTTTACCCACAGCCTCGCCTCGAGCCTCCTTGACATTACCGCTGCCTTGAAGCAATATTATTTAATAAGGATACTTTACATTGCTCACATGTGCTGCTATGAAGACAGGATTAATCTTTAGACAGGACTCAGCTCCGGAGGTTCCCGGGTAATGTATTTTGGCTCTTGGAAGTGAGGGTAGAATTGAGAATATAACAAATGGTCTCTTGGCCGGTTCTGTCCCTTATTTTTAGATTGTTTTCCTGCATCTTACAATTTTCTTTTCCTTTTCTCCAGGCCTGTTTTTCAGTGCTCAGGACACAGTTTTCATCACATACTTACTGTTTTGTTGCTGGGTTTGGTGCAAGCCCTTTGCAATTCACATTGTCTTTTAATACAAAAAGCTGCTACATTTGGTGACCAGAGGGAGGGTTTGGAATCTGTGCTTTGCAGGGGATCTCGGTGGGTACCGCGGCCCCTCGCAGGGTGGGGAGCTGGGTCCGTGCCTCGAGAGGGGGGCCCTTTCCCACGCCACGCGGCTTGAATTCTGTCGGAGTTGAATGTGTGGAAAGGATTGTCCCGTTGGAGCTGCTGCATCCTTTCCTCTGTCCTCCCTGTCTCCCAAACCCCGAAGTCACAGCTGCTTGCAAAAACGGGATTTTGGGGATCCAACCACACACATTTCCCTCTGAACTGAAATTTTAAAAATAGACCCATTTCACTGACTTCTTTAGGGAAAATAGTTTCACTCTTAGGTTGCCTTGTGATCCCACAGGCGTGGGACCCTGTCTCTGCTGGGCTTTTCCGGCCCCATCCCAGCTCCTCCTTCTCAGGCAGAGGCTGTAGCCCTCAGCTCTGCTGCTGGATGGAACATTCGAGAACCCCCTCCTGGAAGGCAGACAGGGTGGAGGGCCCAGAGCCAGCCCTGCCATGCGTCATGACCAGTGGTGCCACCTGGGGCTGTGAAGCTGGACTGGCTTTTCCTGGAGGTGGGTGAGAAGTCTGTCTGGGCAAAACAGAATCAGAAGGCCACGAGAGAGAGGGGAGCGGGGAGAGTGGTGAGGAGGATTCATCCGTGACTGATGAACCTTGCCGTGCCTGTCTGTCCCATCCAAGTCTGTGCCAGCTGCTGGAGGTCAGACTCCTGCCCTGAGAAACAGCCCAGTCCTTGGAGAATGAAACCCTGAGGGTCAGTGCACTGAGGCCTTCCCTTGGGGCCAGCCATTCCCGGGAGGCCTGAGTGTGATCCAGAAGCTCTGCGGGTCGCCAAGACTGGCATTTTCCTTGTATTTTTGTGCAGGGCTGAAGTGAGCATTCCTCCTTTGAATTGGTGAGCCTTTGGGTTTTTTTTTGGTTGTTTCTTTTACTCATCCTAATGGCTGGTTTTGGCTGCTCAGAGTATCAGAGAATATTACTAAGAGGGCAGCCAGTTTATTTTTAGGCATCTTTCTTTCTGTTCAGGGAGAAACCCCTCGGAAGAATCTTAGTCACTCTTTGCACCTGCCCTGTCATTCTCACCATGGGAAAAATGCGTTGAAAAGAGAAATACGGGGCCCAGGGAGAAGCCGTGAACGTATTTATTGGCTTTGGTGAAGCAGCTGAACACTGGCTGCAGAGGGCCCCCAGCCCCCACCCCGCCCCAGGCCCCAGTGACCCAGCTGCGTCTTAGGTTCCATCCTCCAGATTTCAGTCAACCAGAGGCTGCCAGAGGTGACTGAAGAGGTCTCCAAGTCACTCTGTCACCTTTTTTTTTTTTGAGATGGAGTCTCGCTCTATTACCCAGGCTAGAGTACAGTGGCCCCATCTCGGCTCACTGCAACCTCCGCCTCCCAGGTTCAAGCGATTCTTCTGCCTCAGCCTCCCAAGTAGCTGGGATTACAAGCATCTGCCACCACGCCTGGCTAATTTTTGTATTTCTAATAGAGGTGGGAATTTCACCATGTTGGCCAGGCTGGTCTTGAACTCCTGACCTCAGGTGATCCACCTCAACCTCCCAAAGTGTTGGGATTACAGGCGTCAGCCACCGCGCCCGGCCTCTGTCACTTTTTTTGCTCCTTACCCAATTTTTTTTTTTTTTTTTTTTTTTGAGAGTGAGACTACAATGGGAAGACTCCTAGTTGGTTATTCTGTATCTCAGATTCTTTTTTCTGGAATCGTTTGCTCATTTGAGTCGGTGGTGGTTTGCCCTGTGTCAGACACAGCGAAAAGAGTGCAGGGAAGCTGGGGCCGGGGGAAGCGAAGCGGCTTCAATCCGGGGTGACAGCCAAGATTCGTTTTCCTCCCTTCGGCGACAGGACCTGCCCCTCCGAGTCTACAGTTAAAAGCAGCTTCTAGAACTGATCCCTAAGTTTCCAAATGTGTTGGCTAAGCTGAAATGAGGTCTGTGACTCTGAATTAGATGGGTTTGTTTTTGTTTTTGTTTTTTTTTTCCTGCATGAAGTTCATAGGCCTGGATGTTAAATTGTGTCTGTGGCCTCTAAATCTCCAGGTTAACTGGTCCAGATTTTTTTTCTTTTAATCAGTAACAATGGGGATTTAAAATCAAATATTTGGCCAGGTGCGGTGGCTCACGCCTGTAATCCCAGCACTTTGGGAGGCCGAGGCGGGCGGATCACCTGAGGAGTTTGAGACCAGCCTGGCCAACATGGTGAAATCCTGTCTCTACTGAAAATACAAAAAATTAGCCAGACGTGGGGGTGGGAGCCTGTAATCCCAGCTACCAGGGAGGCTGAGGCACGAGAATCGCTTGAACCTGGGAGATGGAGGTTGCAGTGAGCGGAGATCACACCACTGTACTCCAGCCTGGGCAACAGAGAGAGACTCTGTCTCGAAAATAAAAATCAAGTATTTTAAGTTTGGTCCTTCTCTCCTTTCTTTCAAGAAAGGCTTTTTGGATACCTAGAATACCTTCATGTATGTGGCTTGATTTCGGTTTCAGGAGAAGTGGGGGCGGGAGGAGAGACCACGGCTGTTTTCCCAGAGTCTGTCCTGAGATGTCACTGAGTCCAGACACTTGAGCTGCACGTGCCCTGCAGATGACAAAGGCTGGCAGCTCAGCACACGTGCGGGAGGGGTTAAAGCCAATACTGAGTTTTTGTTGTTGTTTTAATCTGAACAATTATTCTCCTGTAAAAATAATTTGGGAGGGGCGGGTGTTGTTCGGTGTGTGTGTGTGTGTGTGTGTGTATGTGAGTGTGTTATCTTTTTTTTTCTTACAGTGGCTGCCTGTCTAAAGTATTTTTCACAACATGTTTGATAATCAGTGCTTTAAAAAGCAGCGGTATCCTATAAAGTGGAAATGTCAGTTCTAGAGCATTGGATGTGACGTTCCGGTCGTGTCACCTTGCGTGTCCTGCCCTGGAGGAGTGAAGGTGGGCGCCCCGGTGGGGGTGTGGCTGCACCCCAGCACCGGGTGGGGGCACGCATGACACCAGAGGAAGGAATAGCCACACCCATGTCAACAGCAGGCGGCCTGTGTTTTCATTTCAAATGGGATACAGTATTTTTTTAATAAGGAGCCATACTTTTTTTTAAGAGTTTGAGATCTGAATGTGATTTCTAATTGTATCAGACGTTAATGTTTTAAAGCTATAACAAAGTTTAAAATTTCTACTTTTTGTTTTTCATTTATTTTAACTGTTCTTTTATCTATTAAATTGTTGTATGTGGATGGGGAAGTTTTGTTTCTCCTCTTAGCATTTGTTTCTATAACCAGAAATAAAATTCTATATTAAAGAAATGACCCTGAGGCTCCGGCATGGTCCTTGTACACTGGTGGCTGCTGAAGGCAGTGGATGGACAGACGGCCTGGACACACAGGCTCCTGGCCCCTTGGACACACGGGCTCCGGACCCCCTGGACACATAGGCTCCGGGCCCCCTGGACACAGGGGCACCTGGTCCCCTGCTCCGGAGGCTGAAGGGCAGCTGCTGCTAAGGGAAGTCGCCCATAGGTCCTTGGTATCCTGTTCCTGGCTCACACAGGACATGCTTCTGCAGGTGCCTGTGGCTCCTGGACTCGGTGACCACCCACCGAGAGTCCTCTCAGCGAGGAGGTTTGCAGCTCCAGGAATGTGAAGACAACGTGTGTCTCCCCTCAGACATGGCAAAGGCAGAAACCAGCCGAGCCAACCCCCTGCTCCTGGCACATGCCCAAAGTCTGGTTGGGGGGCACTTGCAGATACTTGTCCCTGCCCCAGTGGCTCCTGGGCAACTGTGGGTCCTTCCTGCTGGCCCTGGGCTAGATGAGAATTTCTACCCGTGTACAAGATGGGTAGAAATGTACATGCGGAGAAGTTCTCCCAGGCCTTGCTTATGGTAGGTGTGGGGCCTGGGGGGTGGGGATGGCATTGACTTTGGAACTACACAGACCTGGGTTCAAGTTCCTACTGTGTCCTCACCAGCTGTGGGACTTCAGCCTGCAATGTGCTGCACGTCTTCATGTGCCGCACAGGCACCCCCACCCCCACAGGCCTGGCGCCCCGAAGCTCAGCTGCGATACAATCAGCCTCTGTCTCTGCTGAGAGTTCCCCCAGACTTATGAGACCCTTGGGTGTGTCTGTGTGACGACCTCCGACGGGAGACTTGACAGCGGTGCGTGCTTGTCACACGTCCATCTTCTGTCAAGGTTCTGTCGTGTGTGCGTGTGACTCACTCAGCTGAATAGCTTGCATTTTTCCGATTGTACAGTTGCCCACAGTTGCAGCTAAAGTTTGACTGCTTCTCTGTCTTCCTTCAAGTTACTCCATTTCCACTGTAAGAATCTAATATAACTTTAACAGATTAGTTCTAGTTTAGGATGTCAGCCCAGGCTGGGCGCGTTGACTCACACCTGTAATCCCAGCATTTTGGGAGGCCGAGGCAGGTGGATCATTTGAGGTCAGCAGTTCAAGACCAGCCTGGACAACATGGTAAAACCCCGTCTCTACTAAAAAAAAAAATACAAAAAATTAACCAGGCATGGTGGCGTGCGCCTGTAATCCCAGTTACCCGGGAGGCTGAGGCAGGAGAATCGCTTGAACCTGGAAAGTGGAGGTTGCAGTGAGCTGAGATCACACCACTGCACTCCAACCTGGGGGACAGAGCTAGACTCAGTCTTTAAAAAAAAAAAAAAAACCTATCAGCCCAACAGCAGGCATGACTGAGAGGCGTAACCTTCCTCCAGGGAGCTGCGCTGGCTAATTATTAATTGCATCATTTTTAAGGTGTTGTAGTTGTGTGTGTTTGTTTGCTTGCTTGTTTAGAGACAGGGTCTTGCTATGTTGCCCAGGCTGGTCTTGAACTGGGCTCAAGCGATCCTCCTGCCTCGACCTCCCCCAGTGTTTGGATTACAGGCATGAGCCACCATGTCTGGCCTTTTTTGCTTTTGATTAGGACAACCATTTTTCACTAGTGAGACCTTAAAATGACATTAGACACTAATGTAAATATTTTGTAAGAAACCAGTCAAATATTACCCCTGGTAAAATTGCTTGGGTTGCGTCTGTGTGGAGAGAGAGACAGAGATTCAGATTCCCGGCACATAGAATCTCAATTAAACTTAGCTGCCCTATGAACCTGGGTATCTATACAACAAAGAGGGGTGCATCCCTCAGAACCCCAGAAGACATACAATTGTGCACTGCAGCTCTATTCGTTATT